GTGGTTCCTGATGCACGGATATAGGGTGATGCTCATCTAAGAACTCTTCAAGACTCCAGCATGACTAAGAAAAATGTTTGAAAACAAATTGCAATCAAATTCTATGATATATTTAAAAGAACATTTAAAGTAAATAAAACATTCAAGAAATCTAAACTCACCTTTTGAAAATCTTCATGATGATCCACAACTTGACTCTCCCAGCTGGTTGAGGTGACAGGATATGGAAAAGTAGAAAAAAACACATACATCACTGTTGGATCTCCAAAAACAATTAGGTTAACCACTATGACTAGAACTGGAAAAACAGGCAGCTGTCTGTCCAGAATCCTGAATTTAACACAACACTTGGAGCAAAATTTAGAGGAGCTTAAAATCTTTTATATCATATAGTGATGCTGACTTCCCCAAAATATTGGCCACAGTGTAAAAAATATTCATAAACTTCATAAACAACAGTTTTCTGTAAGCGTGTGCGTGCGTGTGTGTGCGTGCATGTTTCTTTACCAGATTCAACTTGTTAGGCCCTTTCAGGTCCAGTATTGAGGCCACCTTTACTGGAGTCTAGCAGATGTTTCAGGTCCAAATATAATCTAAAATATTAGGATAAGCAGAAGAGAAAAAGTGCAAAGTAAAGAGCAAAACATTATTTAAGTAAAAGTTCACCCACAATACAAAACTTATCACCTTCATGTCATTCATTATTCTTTAATGCTCTAATACCCTCTCAGCTTATTGTGAAACAAATACAGAACTTTATCAAACATACCTTCATTATTATCACCACATATGACCAAGAAGGTGTGCTTGGTCATTTCACCAACTCTGGAAATACACCATCCGTCTCTAATCAGCCACCGTCACAGGGTCTTGTGTTATTGTATAGAGAACTGTGGCTGTTAAAAAACAACAACACATTAGTATCTAACACATATGCATAACCTTCAGATAAAAAAGAGAGATGAACATCACTAAGTATGCCTCACACTTTTTCAGGTATCTTTTGATTCAGATGTTGATTATTGATAATAAATCTACAAATCAAACCTGTATCATCATTAGGGTGCTCAAATATGAATCAGTTGATTAATTTTACAGACAGGTGGCTGTTTACAACGCACTAAATTGTCTTTAATAAAAAGGAAATGTTGTGTACAGTACATGCTAAGTTTAGCCTATAGTTTTAAGCACAATATCATGCGGGAGAAAAAGCTTGACTAAGATGTTCCTGACTACAGAAATAGCCTAACTTACTAACGTCAGACATCCCGAGTTGGGAAAAGTAATTTTCAGGGGATACAGAGTTGATTTGCGGGAGGTAGCGGGAGAAATGAGTACCTAAAGAACAATGGGATGAGTTGCGCGCGACGTACCTAAAGAGCGGTGGTAGTGACTTGCGCGCGACGTACCTGAAGAGCTGGGAGGGATGCGGTGGAGAGGGGTGTGCAAAGTGTTTAATGACCGGGCGGGAGACGCGCGATTTCCGGGAGATTATCATTCATTTGCGGGCATCTACTTGGGCATCTGGGAGTCTCTGTGCATTTGCGGGATAACGTTAATGTTAGTCCCACAACTTCCGGGAGACTTCTGTAACCTTAAAAGTCTGAGAAAGTGCAAACGCGGTCATTTAAAGACATTAATGTTAACATTCCGACTTTAATGGTTGTCAACGCTTAATATAATTCAAGCGTACGTTATCACACGAGTCTATCAACCAACGGTAACGTTATATGGACGGCCACGAATGAACCAGTTTAAAAGGGCCGCGGTGTTTAAAACAACCAAATTAACGTACACGAATAACAAACAATCATATGTTTTAGTCAGGAAGCCTTTTACAAGTAAGCATATGTTCATTTACTCACCAGATATGTTTAAGAAACTCTCCAGAGCTTATGGAAACCGTCCTGTGTTGCCTTTAGCATCCGGCCAGAGTAGGCTAAGGTTTGGCTGCTCCGGTGATTCCCTCGCTAGTTTGCTTCGAATTAAAGGAGAAGTGTCGATTTTATTTTACAGATGGGTAACAACGCACAAAATGGCATTAAGAACATGTGACACAAAATGGCATTAAGAACATGTGACAGAAATGTGTTGAACATGTACATTTGATGTTTTTATGCACTATGTATGCGTGAGCATATATAAAACATTCTTGAAAAGAAGTGAATAGTAATGCAGTTAAGCTAGATACACAAACGACCATGAATGAACCGCAGAAGATTAAAATTGTCACTCCATTCTAAAGTTATTAACTTAACAATATGTTTACAGCTGTATTTCCTTAGAGAAAGTCAGTAAAATACCAACATTTAGGTAGTTTGACTCACCAGTTGCTGTTCTAAACCTCAGATGGAAAATGGCGTCTGGAAAATTCTTCAGTGACTGGGGCTGCATGAATTCCCGGATGTTGGAAATAACACCACCAAGTGTAGAAAAGATAACTCCTTGATTTCGCACTGAATAAAATCAATTCTAACTCTTATTATATTCATTTATCAAAATCTAACTCTTTAACGTCAACACTTTACTCTGAAATGCTTCAACACCGAGAATTTAACTCAGATGAATTTGCTGTGTAGCCACTTGTAATTCATAGCCACTACGAATTGGTGTGAGATTGCGTTGAATGGACAAATAAATTTCCCTTTCTGTTTTTCATCGAAAAGTGCCCCAGGCCTTCTTGAAAAAAATCACTTTTATTTTTGCTAAAAAAAAAAGTAAAAACTGACATCACAAGTCAGAATTCAGAGAATTTCTTCTTCCAGAAAAACAATGTGTTCACAAGAAGCTAGTCATAGCCTTAAGCAGGCAGATTCCATGTATGCATGTGTTGTCAGCATGTCCAGTTGATAAATGTTCCCATTTTGCCAATGGCTACAGAGTTTACAGTTCTTCCTATGAAGGATTTCTGCGTACAGTGGCATGAACAGCACCATTCATCTGCAGGTGCAACTGTAATTCAACACTTCACGTGCTCTTTGTTTGACTTGAATAGCCGACAACTAGAAGTCGACGGTTTTTATTCAAATTACATAAAGTATACTAAGGGAAAAAAAACAGGAAATAAACTGAAGATCACATTAAGGAACAATTTATAAACTCTTGATTTGTGAAGTTTTACAAACCATTTTCGAGAGGAGCACTTAATATGACTGATCACAGCTGATCTCTCATCTGTAATCTTTAGTATGCCAATCAGATCATTCCAAACTCACTATAAATAACCTGACTAGCATTACTCTCTCACCTTCGTTTTTTTGAAGAATCTCCCATCCACCCCATGTTCTCCTTCCTCTTTTACCAGGGGGAGCTCTCGAAAACTTCCTGATCTTGTTCCCCATCACATGCTCATTGATCAGACGGGAGTTTGTCTACCAATTATAGAGTTTATCAGAACTGGGATGAAAACCATCTTTTGGAAGCTGTTTGGACAGAAATATGTCAACAGTCATATTGGGGTGATATAAAGACAGTAAGTCTCTTATTTTCTTATTTTTTTCCTGACATTAAAATAGTATTCAAAGTCCTCCCATTTTGAGGGCCACCGCAACATGATAAAAGACTGTGGTTTCCCCAATCACCAAATTGATTGACATTAACATATCTTCATAGTAAAGCATGTAATTATATGAACAGGACAGGATGTGCACAAAGTAACAGGGATTAAAAGATCTGATCAGCTTGCTGTGATCATTAATCATCAAATGTGATCAAGAATGACTTTTACAAGTTTAAAACAGTGCATGTTTGTAATGAATTACAGCCATTACTTGATCACCACAGCCCCATTTCAATACAATTCTTAAAAGAAGAGGCCTTAATCCCGGTTTGTGGACGTTATATCAGGTTTATTTTGTACATTAACATAACAGATACCCATAGTGCAGTAAATATTTACGTGTTTCCTGTCACATTTGCCAAGCAAAAACAGTGCAAAGCCAAACGCGAGCGCTGTGTGGGTGTGTGACTCATCATTGCAACTCCACAACAAATACATCAAATAATCATTAGTAAAGTTCTTACTGGAGTGTTTCCAACAAATGTTACGTGAGATCTGCTTCCTCCATGTCTGTCACTGTGCTGCTTATCTGACGCAGCTGGGACGCAGATTGAGGCACACTCTGACAGGGACATGGGAACAGTGGGCGGGGAGAACTAGCATTAAAGGCACAGGCAACAAAAACAGCTACATTGTGTCCAAAGCAGAAAATTCCAATATTTTAATAATATAATAAATAATCTGATGGGTGTTTTGAGCTGAAACTTCAACAAAAGACTTATTTTAAATCTTGAAAAGTGGTAAAATAGGTGCCCTTTAACTTACCACCAGATCATTTTTTTGTTTTTTGTTTTATACATTTATACATTATATACAATTTTTTTATCTGACCATTTTGTACTGCAATTAATTACGATTATTATAATATTTGCTGATTCTGTATAGTTTTACAAAAGAAAAGTGGCGTCTGAGAAAGGAAAAAAAAACAACCACAGTTTACAAATCCACCTTAAAAATAGCTTTATTGAAGAAAATGTAAGCATATTAAGCACTTGTACATTTCAGTTACTTTAAGCGACAGGTGTACATATAAAAAGATGTCATAATAAAGATGTGCAGTCTGTTGTAGAATATATTGCAGGAATAACACAGACAAAAACAATCCCACATCTTTGGATAGTTGTTACATGTGTATAATCTTGCCACAAGGCACAAAATGGTATTTTCTTTTATGACACTTGAGTAATAGTTTCTTTATTTGGCACTTCTCTGCCAAACCTTCACTAATCAGCGCTAAAAAACATCTTTGTCTTAACGCTACTTTTTTTTTTTTTTTATACACACGTTTTTGGCATGCACAGACAATTCAACAACCTACATTATAAGTATTCATACAAAAAAGAATCAACACTTATTCTTTCCATGGCTTTTAGAAACTGAAAGTCTATACAGTATATGAAGTTAAGTCACCAAAAAAAAAAAAACACCACGCACACACTTAACTAGTCCATACGTTTATTTACACAAACATACAGTTATAAAATTGCACACCAAAACAAAAAGCAACACTTGAAAGGGTTAAAGGAAGGCCATGTTATGTTAAAGCAGGGTTTTGCCTTTCAGTTGCCTGTTAAATTTTCCGGAGCATAACAGACAATGTGTGTCTTTCTATTGTTCTGGTCTTGCAGCTGACAAAACTAAACAATCCTGCTAACCAAAAGCAGGCAACAACGCTGACATCACCGCTCTTGGAATCCCTAGCGCGCAATCTTTTGCGGCTACGTCACTGCACTGTACACACAAATACTGAGCTTAGATTAGAAAGCAAGAAGAGAGATGAGAGTGTGAGCTGACGCATAACCAATGCAAACACTTACTGATACAGTAAACCTGAAGAAAAAAAGATATTTACATTCAGGACACTGAGAAATATTACAAAAATTAAGTGCCTTGTTGGGGTTCAGATTCTACCAAGAATAAATAAGTAAAAAAAGTGAAGACAAATGCATGATTCACTTATAAACATCATTTGAAATCATATGCAAAGGTTTTAACAAATGCTCAATGATACAGAAAACAAATGCATAGGCTAATCTACTCCATAATGCTCCATGGAGGACATTAGGCATGCTGTTTTTATTTGTTTAGCTTTTTTTTTGATAAATGTCATGATAGCATAACGATAAAACACATTTAACATCACCCAAATCCATAAGTAAAGCATTATTAAAAAAACACTATCATTTTTTGGTGCCTGATGGATCACAAACCCATTAGACAGTTCATAAAAAGTGGTTCCTGCGTTATACTGTGTCTTAACATCTTCTCTTTCTCTCTCTCTCTCTCTCTCTCTCTCTCTCACACACACACACAGTCTAAGTCTTCACAAACACACTTATAGATACTGTACACACATTGATCCATCACAATCAAACACTGCATCCACCAGTCGCAAATAATCACACCATTCACCCATTCAAAAAATAACCACTTAAACCATACATTGAAATAGAATCAAAAATACAAAAATAGTAATGGAAAGAAAACAGTTGACACAAACGGAGGCACTTAAAAAGGAAAGATGAAACTGATTTCAATAACTGGGTAAATGAAGACCAGCTATATTCATGGCTGTCAATCAGTTTTGATGCATTTGGGTAATAGTATATAAAAAATGTTCTTGTATAAGTATATAGAAACTATATATAAATAAAGCTATGTTTCCATCCACATATATGTGCATTTTGGGAAATCATATGGAAAGAAAATGCGGAGTAAAAACAATGGTGTTATTCCAATGTAACAAATTGTTCTTTTTAATAGAATTCATGAAAACGTAATTAAAACTTTGGGTTTAAGAACAGGTTAATAAATTATGCTGGATTTATTGAACAAATTCCTTGATTCACAACAAGAAAACTTTTTTTTTTGTTGTCTAAAAAACATGAATAGATATCTGAACTAAGCAGCAGATTGAGTCCAGATTTTCTGCATCCTATTCAATATTTATTTCTGCATAAATAAAGGTACAAGAGCTGTCACTGGAGTGGTACCTTTTCAAAACATAGACATTAGTTATTAATGGATTCATATTAGTACCTCAAAAACATATATCTGTACCTAAACATTTAAGGAGGTACACTTTTGTACTTTTAGGTTTAATATGGACCCTTTAGGTACAAATGTGTACCTTTTGAAAAGGTCCCACCCCAGAGACAGCTCTCGTACCTTTATTTCTGAGAGTATAGGGTAAGAAAAGCTATAGCGGTTTCCCTGTTTGTTTGTTTTTTTAAGAATAATTGCACATTTCCAAGTAATTTTTCCTCTTCAAATTATAGGAGGGAATTTTTACTTTAACCACAAATTATATTAATAATATTCAGTGTTTTTTTCTTACATGTTCAAATTATAATTTCGGATAAAAACATTTACAAACATTTTCCTCTATTAGGGGTTTGAACCTACACTGGTCTCACGGTTTGGTTTGGTTACGATTATCATGTCATTGATTCAGTTCAATTTGAAATCATAGTGCATTAATGATGCCTTCTGTACACAATTTTAATTTTACAAGAACCCAATTTTCTGTCAGATATATGAACTGTAACTTTAATATTAAAAAACGCATGCTTTTTGAGTGTTTGAGCATGTTCTTGTGTTGGGTTTACACTGGCATGCGTGTATAAAAATCTGTGCATAAATAGACACCTGAACATTTTGAGTTTATTTACTTCATTAGCATTCACTTCACAATAGATGCAGATTCACATCATGGGCAGGGCTTCTATCTGCCCAGTGACACTAGCTTTGATGCTAAATAGTTAACATGGATTTTACCATGATAGTAGCTGTGCTTTATAAAGGCTTATATTCCACTATATGTCCACTAGATCCTTTCAGAAGTGCACACAGCTCTGTGAGTTCATCAACTCCTCCATCAACTATACCTGAATGATGGAGGCTTCCAGAGGGCTTCGGACTGAGCGGACCCTAGTTTGATGAACTATTTCTATTTGTTGGCAAGAGGATTTCCCCTCAGGACACTAACAACAGGCGCTACATCATAATCACTCTACTACAAGAGCAAGCTCCTGATTGGTGTCAAACGTGCAAAACGATCAACTCATGGCAATTTATTTGCACAAATCGCGTCGCAGGATCTCTATTTGCGACTTTGCATTAACTTAACATGTAAATCACTTTCACTTGACGCTTCATCTACTCCTGGTGTGAACGCAGCAAAAAACACCTATGATTGGGCATTGTGTTCACACACTCAACAGAAATGGTGCTGATTGGCTCTGAAGATCACCGCTGTTCACTGAGCAGTGACAGTTCTGGAAGGTAATGATAATTCTGAACCACTTTGATGACAGACTTTGGCTAAGGGGTTTTAAAATGACCAAAACAACATTTCAGATGTTTCATAATGTGGTCATTCTTCTGCTAATTTGTTATCACATGATCTGTTAAAACAAAATCACCAAGTTTTTTGATGCACATACTGGGACTTAGTCTTTTAAATGCGTTTCTATCGTAGTTTATTCACATTGTTTCTTAGGATAAAAAGTTAATCCTTCTCAGTTATGTGCATTTTAAAAAAGTATACACATCTTTCCTTTCTCTTAAAAAAAGGAATATTGCAAATCAATAGGTGGATGGAAACATAGCTTATGTTGCTGTCAAAACGACTGTTTATCTGGGAGTATCATAGTGGTAGATTGTTAAACCGTTAGATGTGAATTTGACACCCTTGTTTATACTGTACACTGAAATGAGTTATTGTGTAATTGTCAGTTTAACCGACTGGTCTCAAAGCTTGTGAACTGGGGGTTGGGACTCACCTACCTTACCTATTATAATGCTACATCATGTAAAGTAAGGCTCAGTTTATCTACGTCCCTGTGCGAACATCCTTTTGAAGGTCATGAATGGTAGAACTTCTCATTGTATCGGTGGATGGTGACGCAGCCGTGGTAGGAAATGGGACGGGGCATCGCTGCTACACCCGTGATGATGCCAGTGGATGGATCATAGCACAGGATGGTGTCTGACGCCTCTCCGTTTTCACCACGTCCACCCAGGATGTAGATCTTTCCATTGCATACCGACATACCGCAACTTTCCTGGAAAAAAAAGAATACATATACATGCAATCCTGTTTATTTCAGAAATTAAAGTGATATTCATATTTGATGCAATTAAATTTGAAGAGTATATTTCTGCAAGTGTCACCAGTTCAGCATGATTTTTTGCATTTTACAATTATTGTATTTCTTATGAGGAAATATAATACTGCCCATTATTTATTCAGAACCTTATTTATTTATTTATTTTTTATAAATATATTTATATTAATTTATATTTATATATTTGTCAATTAATGTATGCATACCTACACATTTAATGATCTTGTCTAAATAATTTCTGAAGTATCATGTGATGGCTGCTGAAACCTATGCAAGTTTTAGGAACAACAAATAATAACTTCTAGAGTTGATCCTTTGGGATCAGAAGTGGCTTACATGAAAGTCAAAGGCCTCTAGATTACGCTTATTTTACCGAAATAAAATATGATCATGCCTTGATTTTTTATTATTTAAATAGAACAGTAAGATCTGACTTTGCTTAAACAGTCTAAGTTTGCTTAGAAGTCTTGTCACTTAACAGAAATAACGTACAGTTCAGAATATAAAGTCATGCTGCAGTGGAAAAAGAATTAATATTGTGTATGACTCCAATGACTGCATCCATACATCGCTGCAATGACAGTAACTTATTAATAAAGTCATCTGGAATGGCAAAGAAAGCATTCTTGCAGGACTCCCAGAGTTCATCAAGATTCTTTGGATTCATCTTCAATGCCTCCTCTATCTTACCACAGACGTGCCTAATAATGTTCATGTCTGGTGACTGGGCTGTGCAATCCTAGAGCATCTTGACCTTTTTTGCTTTTAGAAACTTTGATGTGGAGGCTGAAGTATGAGAAGGAGCGCTATCCTGCTGAAGAATTTGTCCTCTCCTGTGGTTTGGAATGTAGTGGGCAGCACAAATGTCTTGATACCTCAGGTTGTTGATGTTGCAATCCACTCTGCAAATCTCTTGCATGCCCCCATACTGAATGTAACCCAAAACCATGAGTTTTCCTTCACCAAACTTGACTGATTTCTGTGAGAATCTTGGGTCCATGCAGATATGCCACTTTTTCAAATGATCAACTAGAAGTCATGTTATTATTTGTTGCTCTTAAAACTGGGATCGACAACAAGACTTTTTTTTAGGTAGTGTATTTTACACATAGTTTGCATTTATAGTTGGTGCATTATTTTCTATAGTGCATACATATAGGTGTAAAATGATCTTTAATCTCGATTCATTGAATATTTACATTTGACCAAATCAATTCAATTCAATTCAATTCAGCTTTATTTGTATAGCGCTTTTACAATGTAGATTGTGTCAAAGCAGCTTCACATAAATGGTCATAGTAACTGGAACAGTGTGGTTCAGGTTTTAGTGTTTAAGTTCAGTTCAGTTCAGTTTAGCTCAGTTCAGTGTGATTTAATCATTACTGAGAGTTCAAACACTGAAGAGCAAATTCATCGATGCGCAGCTCTACCAATCCTGAACCATGCGAGGCAGTGGCGACAGCGGAGAGGGAAAAAAAACTTCACCTGATGGGAGTGAAGAAAAAAAACCTTGAGAGAACCAGACTCAGTTGGGCACGACCATTTTAATTTCTCCGCTGGCCAAAAGTCTTGTGCAGAACTTCATTCGCCGTGGTGCAACAAATCACCAAATGTGCAACAATTAGTAAAATTCCATATTGCACAGTGTACAATACATCTTTAAATGTTGTGTTTAAAATCAAATATTGACCAATGTTTATGTGAAAGTTGTGTAATATTTTATACAGTAAGTATTATCTATTACCTTATTTACTCCAGATTTTGCAATAATACGCATAATACTGACGCATAACGATAACAACACTAATTATTTTTATTACTATTATTATGATTTTATAGCGAGTTAAAAACTATGAAAAATTAAATTAATTAAATTAAAATATACCATTTCTTTAATATATATATATATATATATATATATATATATATATATATATTTCCCAAATGATGTTTAATAGAGCAAGGCAATTTTCACTGTATGTCTGATAAAATTTTTTCTTCTGGAGAAAGTCTTATTTGCTTTATTTTCGATAGTCTACAGAACAAAACCATCGTCATACATTTACTAGTCAAATTACTCTAACCTCCCTAGTTAACCTAGTTAAGCCTTTAAATATCACTTTAAGCTGTATAGAAGTGTCTTGAAAAATATCTAGAAAATATTAGTCACAGTCATCATGGCAAGATAAAATAAATCAGAAACGAGTTATTAAACTATTGTTTACAAATGTATTGAAAAAATCTGCTCTCCGTTAAACAGAAATTGAGGGAAAAAAAATAAACAAAGGGGCTAATAATTTAGGGACTTTAATAATTTTAATTGCAACTGTATATAAATGTATTTTAGTTTAAGTTTTTAGATTGTCTACGGAAAAAAGATCTAGTACCTGTTTACTGAACGTATGAACCACGTGCATCCAGTAATCTTCAATGGGGTCATAGCAGTAGATGGATTTGGTCAGGCCTCCAGAAACATAGATGAGATTG